TTCAAGGCGACTAATTTGATACTTGGTTTTGTGACTGTATAGATAATGGGTTGGCCTATACCTATACCTTCTTTTAGAATTTTCTACGTATAGCCATATTTGTTTGGCTAAATGTGGTTCAAGTAGCCCCCTACTGTTTGGACTCTGCCTATATCCTCGACGATTACACAGTCACAGAACACACGTGACGATATGTTTTATTAATAAAAAAATCAATTCTAAGAACTCTTTTAACACTGAAATCCCCCAAGCCGAGTCGAGAGGTTAGAAAGAAATAGAAATACTTGTACATTCATATATCCGAAAAACATTAACATGTTTCTTGGGCGGTTCTCATTTTATACTCTCCTTTATCAAAAGAAACGGAACGTTTGAAAAAATATGAAACACACGTTAAAGGACTTTAACCTTATAATTAACACATCATGGCGAATTGTGTTTCAACTTTCCAAAATTGAAAATATTATCATAACATGTTTTAATCTGAATTCTAAATGACTTACGAATACACAAAAAATAACTAGTGCTTACTAGCTTATAAGAATTGTTGATATCTACCCAATATCCACCATAGAGATGTAGGTATACTACAACACTAATTTAAATATATGATATGGCCTACAAATAATTTGAAATATTATTATTTTAAATTGTTTCGGGTCTGGATGTTTGTCTTTGTGGAAGTTATGAATGTAAACTGCCCCCATGATACAGGAGAAAATCCTAGTTTAAAAAATACGGTTGACCCTACAGGCCATCCCGCTAATTGCAAATGCAAAGCGCTCCAAATCCCACCTATTATGACATTTTGAGCTCTTCGAGCTCAAAAACGTAATTTATTACGTCATATACAATCCGAGAAGAAATTTCAAAGTTATTTGAAGAAATATATTTTTTTTCGAAATTTCTCTTCAACAAATCAACCGATTTTAATGCGGCATGCAGCAATCGACGGAATTTTTTGAGATTAAGATCTGATTACATTTTAGAATCGTTTAAAACATACATGTTTGTAAGTTATTTAAAAAAAAATTTTTTTTGAGATTTCTCAAACACACAAAACAAAACAAGTTATGACAGGGTTACATACATTCATACATACACACGCACGCATGCACGCACGCACGCATGCACGCACGCAAGCAAGCATGCACGCACGCACGCATGCACGCACGCACGCAGAGACACACATACACACACAGACAGACAGCCACACAGATACACAGACATACAGACATACAGGCATACAGACAGTGACATCGTAAAAATATTCAGAATAGCCTTCCTAGGACCTCAAAACGTCGAGATCTGATGAAACCTCGATTTTCGATAACTGGGGTGAAACCAATAGTTTTTGAAAATCATTGATTTTCATAGCGGGAATTTAAAAAAACATGTCTGCAGTTCACACTTCACACGCGGTAGAAGAGAAACCTCATAACACTATATGTAAGTGCAGCATGAAATATAAGTTAAAAGTTTAATTTTATTGCAAATAAATGTTACAATTCTCATTTTTAGACCTGTGGAGCCTAAACTTTAGTGTATTAAATCAAAAGAATATTTTCTTTCGACTAAAATTACTTTGCAATACTAATTGAGGTATACTTCATTCTATGAGTAAAATCATTTTATCGAACAAAAATTAGATGGTCTTACTACGACTAATTTAATATAAATCGGTAAGATATTATATAAGTCCCCTGGACACGACGGATTTAACGTGGAGTATCTAAAACATGCAACGATTATACGTTTCCGAATATCAACCCTAGGGTGGATTTCTTAGGAGGGATAAACGGAATAACCCCTTTTTTGCCTTTTAAAACGGAACAGAAGAGTAGTTGTGGGTGCTTGGCAGAATTAGATAAGGGTGTCAACCCAGGGGGTGCAGAACTCCCACGTAAATAATAAATAAGCATCTAGAAAAAGAAGCTTACGTAAATGTGTATTTCTTTTCAGCAAACATCTTTCTAGGCATGTTACCGGATAGGCCCTCATTTGTGTAGAGTGTTGTCAATGTTTTTCACTTTTTGTATAAGGAATGCCTATTTGCCAGATGATATGTTGAGAGCAGCTGTGGTACCGATCGTAAAGAACAGAACTGGAGGTATCATTGACAAACAGAACTATAGACCCATTACACTAGCTACCATATTGGCCAAGGTGCTTGACGGTGTGTTGAATGGTTGGTTGTCTTGCTTATTATGTGACACTCGAAGATGTTCAATTTGGGTTCAGGGCGGTTATCTAGATTGAGAGTACAATATTAATTCTTAAGTATACCGTCAAGTATTGTACTGACCGTAAAGCGCCGCAGCGTCGTTGATGCGCAGAGTGAGAGACAGTCCTAACGGCTACCTGAGGAAGTGTACATATTGAGAGTCCTATCTGGAGGCACTGGATTCGCCTACATATAGGATAATTTATAATAGTCTGTACCTGTTATTACTAACATAGTTTTTAAGTTTCATTGTATTACTAACACTCTATGGACAGACAACCTAGTCTGAAAAAAAAAATTATGTAGTCATGTATTGTTAAAAATAATTTGGATATGATAGTTTTATTCAATTTAATAATTTTATTTATTTGATAATAAATTTGTAATATTTTAATTCCTTATTTTATAGAGGCGTTCACTGCCGGTTTCTCTCGATTCTTTGCGTAGGCTAGGCGTCATTCGCGCGCGGAGCTGAGTGTTGGATTATTTAAATTTTTCATTGTCTCTTAAACTATGCGCCCAAATAACATGCTATAAAGAGCAAAGTTTATTTTCATAAAATTATCTTGACGACGAAGTAACTTTCATTCGTAATAATTAATACCATCATGACTAATAATAACGTTCTTAACATCAATTTTCAATATGTTTTTGTCACAAAATACCCTATTGTGGCTTATGTATAAGAAATAGGCCTATAGTATCACGGACTTCTTTTAAATGGCCAAAAGATCTATATTTTTGTAGAAAATAGTATTTATGTATCCACCATTGCGCCAGCGCACGCGGATAAATCAGTTCTTGAGCGCTTTTTCTTCCGAATTGCTTCACAAAAATCAACATTTAAGGCCAGCTGAAAGGTGTAGCATAGTGCTAGATAGCCTATACTATTTCTCGTGAATCTAGCTATCATATACAAAAGGAATTTATCAAATCGAACTGGTAGTTCCAGAGATAACCGTGTTTAAACAAACAAAAATTTTTTTTCGTTTTATTATATTAGCATAAATTCTATCTCATTCTATCCTATAGATGTATACATTTGTCTCTTTTTAGTGCCGCTTTGTCGTTTCATTGAGTTTCAAATTGAGTTTCAGCAATCTGTTTCACTTTTTGAATTATTCCGTTTATCCACTCTCAGGGTGGATACTCGGAAACTCATGTTCGTTGATCCACTCTAGACGGGGTGGATAGTCGGGATTCACGTTTTGATTGTTGTTCCGGCTTCCACCCCAAATACAGTTCAACAAACAATATATTCATACCTTAATATATTATTCATTAATTTTTAATTACCACAAACTTAAACAAAAATCATATTACGTATGTATTGCATTTATACCAAATTAAACTTCCTCGTTTTAAACAATATTATAAATTCTGCAATATGTCCAGGAAATGGCCAACACTAATGTCATTATTGAGTAAACGTAAATTGTATATCCTGAATAAATTCGTCTCTTATGTACATTTGCATTGGTTTTCTAAATTTCTTTATTACAACAGATGTGTTAGCAAAAAACTGCAAGCAATCCAAAAACTTTACTAAAGAACAATGGCAGAAAAATAGTTGACAAAAATTATCGCGTCTAGAAATAAGTTATATATAACATGAGTTTTATTATTTTGCTATGATTTTTCAAATAAAAATGTATTTTAATTAAAGCCATAGAAAAAAACAAGCATTTTTGGGAATATCAAATGACTTAAATCATTTTACTCTATTCAACTGTTGCCATTGAGTATATTCATACTATTTTCGTATACACTTTGTAAGACTACCAATACAACACAAAAATATTTTTATATTAAGTTATTATTAGTAATAACTATACTATCAGTAATAATAAAAATAGAAGTGATATAGTTGGGAATAAGTATCTTACAAAGAACTTCTTAGAATAATATATTATCTCAATCATAGTTCTATATAACAATTTCATTTAGTGTTATGGCAACACTAGCTAAAACAAAATGTCACTGATTTTTTTATTGGCTTTACGGCTCTGGGTTCTAGCCCTTCTGAGAATGTCACCATGACACAAAGGCCCTGGAGCCATGCCAGAAATATACATAATATATAGTATGCAAATATATAATAGAGATACAATAATCTAAATACTCTCAATTATGTATTATGTATTAAGCTAACATCAAACCACCACAGAAAGCATGACCTTTTCCAAGTGACATAAGATATAACCTAAAAAGGTTCAAATCGAAATGTCTTTTTTTAACCCCTTCTCAGGACAAAATTCTTTGACATAGTTATTAAGGGACTGACGCTTAACATTTTAAGATATTTTTGATATATAGACGCTACCATTCCTTCTCAACTAATTTTATGTATGAAAGTCTGCCATTGTTCTTTGGGTGCTTGTCTTTAATTTCATTTGATACCTATTGTTTTATGCCAAGATTCCAATGTATTTGTAGTAAGTGAGACTCTCCGAATGAATTCCAAACAGCCACATGATTTTCGTCCTTGAGCCATGTCTTTTCATGGTAATTCACAAACGCCATCATATTATCATTATTATTTAATAGCCGAGGGAGAAAATCGAACATGCGTTTCCGAGTATCCACCCTAGGGTGGATTTCTTAGGGTGGATAAACGGAATAACCCCCTTTTTTGGTTTTTAAAACGGAACAGAAGAGTAGTTGTGGGTGTTTGGTAGAGTTAGATAAGGGTATCAACCTAGGGCGTGCAGAACTCCCACGTAAATAATTAATCATCTAGAAAAAGAAGATTACGTAAATGTATATTTCTTTTCAGCAAACATCTTTCTAGGCATGTTACTGGATAGCATAGGCAGAAAATACTGCGTGATATTGACCTGCGTGCCGAAGATGCTCATATGCATCCTCTACATCTTCGCGACAGACGTGTGGATGCTGATACTGGGCCGTGCTTTGATGGGCATAACTGATTCACTTGTGTTCACAGTTGTACCTGTTTACGCTTCAGAAATCGCTAGTGTGAGTGCTTAATTAATTTAAATGTTAACATATCAATGTACTCTTCAGCTTCCTTACCTTACCTTACCTTATTATATATTTTTAACGCCGCTCCTTGTTGCCGGTCTAGATTTATTCCATCCATCCATTACAGCCTATAAAAGTCAAAGGCTGAACATAGGTCTATCCATAGATTGTCTCTTGCCATATTTATCATGCTTGACAGGCGGCTTTGCAACCGCAGTTTTTATAATTTTTCTTAATAATACTGCTGCCCATTTCCTGTTTAAGTTTTCTTTTGTCGCCTCTTCCGACATTCACGGGACGATATGGGCTAGTGGGTATTCTTACACCGCCACTACACGGTTAACTACTTAGTACTACTACTGAGTTTATTACCTTTATTTACCCTTCATTCATTAGAAGACAATAGCTCTATCTGGTATGTCCCGTAGTTGACTCTCACAGAACCCACAGAACGAAATGATATGATAATTGATAATATTAATATATAGTATTAAATATACGATAAACTTTATATTTTTGCAGAAAGGCATGAGAGGTGCTCTTGGCACATTCCTGCAGATCTTTTCATCCTTGGGCATAGTGATATCGTTCTCGGTTGGGCCGTTCACATCATACAGCACTTTTAATATAGTGTTCGCTGCAATTACCTTATTCACGAGTGTTCCGCTGATATTCTTGCCTGATAGTCCATACTTTTTATACTCGAAAGGTGAGGTTAAAATTAAATTACCATTGTAGATAATTACCATTGTTTTAAATGTAAAATGATAGAGATTTGCAGTTGTGGGCGCATCACGGAAAAACTATTGGATAAATTTCAATTAGGTTTTCTAAGTTTTATTTCTTAGACACTTGGACCTTATCTAAAAAAAATATTGCGATATCTTCATTTAATATAAAGTTATTAAAGTTTTAATGAAAAAATGATTTTGTAGAATACTAAAAAAACTATGCTTAATCTCATTAGATTAAACAAAGTATATTTTTGCTTGCAATCTTTTTGATGTTTTTCCTTCGCACATACGAAAAGGCTGGCAAAGCATCTGCAGTTCCCCTGGTGTTGCGGTTGTTCAGGGGCGGCGGTAGTCACTTACCATCAGGTTAGCTTCATGCTCGTTTGCCCCCACTCCTAAAAAAAAAGAAAACTTTGTTAATATATCAAGCAACGCGGACGAAGTCGCGGGTATCATCTAGTCACCACATAAAACTGCAATAAAAATTTATAGTATGAGAGCTGGCGACGAATTTTGGGAAGGTCCTTTTGGCAAGTTGAAATTGTTAAAAAACATAATTTCGTTAATTGGCGAATTCAGTCCCGCGAGTCTGGCAGAGCGTTTGCGGTTATTTCGTTACTGCGCAGCATACCGCATTTGCAAAAAAAAAAAATCCAAAAAAATGTTTTTTGGCAACTTGATTTCTTTTTTATATTTTAATTTAGTTTTCATATAATTCCAAAAAAATAATCCCAGACGTTATTGTCGGTTATAAAGTATTACCAGACCTCTCCAAAAATATTTTTTTTTAATTTCCCAAAAAATATACTTTTGGCAATCTCAAATTTTAATCATGTATTTATGCTGTAATTTTTAATAATACCTGCAAATCGCCAGACAAATTTAGCGGTTATAAACAATTCCCAGACGTCAATAAAGTTTACAAATGAATACGACAAAAAAGTCTTATGCGTAGCCATAAGTGCGAGAAAGATAACTTATCGAAGCATGCCGACAGCGAATGTGGACCTAAGCTCCTCGAGCTGTGATTGGTTATTAAGAAATATTTTTTTTTAAAATTTTAAGATTAAATTCTTGTTTTGGGATTTAGCATGTATGTATGCGCATATATGACCATGTAAATATCTGTGTATATAGTTTGAATTATTTTCGATCAGTGCTGCAATAACTTGTATAATAGCTACTAATTTTAACGTCGTTATGAATTAATAGTAACCTTGGCAAAAATATGTCTTAATAATTACCGCCCCATGATCTTAAAAAAGGACAATATGAATAAAGTGCTTACTAAGTGGAAAAAATAACAAGTTACACGTTCTCTACAGCCGTAACTTTTTTCACAGTACGTAGTACAGATATAGATGACTTTTAAACTACCTAAATGTAGTTAGTGCCAAAAAGACCTTCCCAAAATTCGTCGCCAGCTCTCAGACTATTATTGGTGCTGGCGGAAATTTGAATATAAGCACACTATGAAAATTTAGGCGAACACTTATAACATCATAACATACTATTCTTTTCAGGCAAAAACGACGAAGCAATAGAAGTGTTACAGGATCTTCGCGGCTCGAAACAACTGGCCATGGAAGAAATTGCAATGTACGCGACTTCGATGAACAATGAAAAAGTCGATAAAATTAAATTATTAAAGAGTCGAGTTGTACTAAAATCAATCGCAATAGTGATGATTCTTAGCGCGGGATCGCAACTAGTTGGTTTTAACGCTGTATCGTTTTATTTGCAAACGATTTTAATATCGACTAAAACGAACGTGATGCCGGAGATTGCTTCGGTAATAATAGGGTTGATACAGCTCACTGCAAGCTTCTGTACGACCTTCTTGACTGAAAGGTTTAAAAGAAAACAGATATTGATTTCAACGCTCCTCGGCATGATGGTTGGATTGGTAAGTTTTATGTTAGTGGTAATTTCAGAATCATCAATAATTATTATTCTTAACAGGAGTAGAGAGAGTAGAGTAAGTAGTAAGGTGGCAGCAGAAGCAAATAGAGGTAGGGCCACATTTTTATGTAAGATTGGGCAAACGAGTAAGCGGTTTACCTGATGGTAAGTGAATACCGCTGCAAATGAACAACTGCAACATCAGGAAAATTGCAGGTGTGTTGCCGGCATTTAAAAAAGAGTAAGTCCTTTTCTTGACGGTCGGATACTCTTTTAGCTGTTAATGAAGTATTCTATTTCACTCCACAGGATAAATGTGGGTGTGTTTGGGTCCCGACGTCAGTTTATCATTAGGACTGAGTACTCGATTGTTATCTCTAGGTAGATAAAAAAATTGTAAATGTATATAAGTATTATATAACTATAGTTAACGATTCCTTGTTCACTAACTTTAAACAATCATGGTTAGACTCCTAAAGGTCTCAGTGTCAAAAGTAATTCTTCAAGTCCATAAGTTCTACACATAACTGTATCGCACTTTGCTTTCTTTCCTTATTCCTCCTTCTATCCTCCTGTCTCAAACAGTCTGGTGTTCTATTTTGTTTTTCGAATCAAAGCCCTCATTCTTGGTTTTGCCTTTATATTCCTGCATACCATAAAGAAAACCTCCAGGTGTACAGGGAAAAAAAATTTCGAAACGATGGAGAGTTGGTTGTCTTAGTTATTATTTATGCTTATATAGTAAATTAGCATTAAGATTCTGGTGAGCTATTATTTAGAAATATTAAAAGGTATACATTTTATTTCAGGTTGGCTTGGGCGTATTCTTCAAAATAACAGAGTATACAAATGAGGTATCCGGGTTCATGAACTACCTGCCTCTAATATCGTTGATTCTCGTCGTATTCTGCTTCAGTGCAGGTATTTTATGTAACCTTGAACTTTGATATTCCTTAGACCACACAAAAGGATACAATAATTAAACTTTTAATAAAAATTAAAACGGATTTCAAAAATTAAATATATATAATTTCCACATAATAGCTTATTAAGTTAGGATTTTAATTATATATACTTTAGAAATATAGACTTTAGAAAATTATGAGGAAATTATTTTATCTTTTTGAGTTTTTATTTTTTTGAAGTTAGTTTTACTTAGTATTGAAAGTGACAAACGAGCACACAGTCCACTTGGTGGTAATGGGATGCTGTGGCCCATAGACATCTACGTTTATCCACGATTAAGATTCAAAATTCAGATGCGTTGTCACCCACGAGGACCAAGATGGAATGCCTCTTTTCCAGTAAAATGGGGCTCCGGTTCTCTACACTCACAAAACACAGCAGCATTAAGCTGTTATTTTACGCTGATTTTCTGTGAGAGCTTGGTCCTACCCCAGTCGAGCCAACAAAAATACAACTACAACAATAAGAATACTAAAACCATAATATAGTTGCAGCGTGGCTCTACCACGTAAAAAGTTAAGTTAATCATCATTGATACATTAAATGTTTTGCCCAAATTTTGATCCCCATTGCTAATTTACACCAGAACTCATGATTATGTCGCCGAAGTCTTCTTTCTACTCTGATTAGAGTAACATCTTACAGTGAGATCTCGACCATAGATGTTTTTTTTCAGTCGCTAAAGTAAAAAGATGATACAGTTGGAAGTCGGATGTATCTTAATTCCTTGTTTATAACATAGTAATACATATTAATCATTTGAAGATATAACCTTTGCAAAAATTAAAATGTTAGAACTCTGACCTAACTTTGGGCCATTGCAAATTTTTATATCATTTTTTTTGCTTCCAGGAATGGGTTCTCTAACTTGGGTCCTGACTGCAGAATTATTCGATGGTCCCGCGAGGGCTATTGGGTCTTCAAGTAGCCTCATCGTATCAAACATCTTTTTATTTCTTACTACAAAATATTTCTCCGCTCTCACGCTTTCTATTGGACCAGCGATTACGTACTGGTTGTTCAGTGGTGCCTGTGTAATTACCTGTTTGTTCATTTACTTCTATATTCCTGAAACAAAGGGCAAGAGTTTTAGTGAGATTCAGAAGGAATTGGGTGGAGAAATAGAAGAAAATAAGGATAAGGAGAAGAGTTAAAATTCGACTGAAAGAAATTCAATTCCCTAAAATACTTCCATCGAGATCAACTACAAGTGAATACCCAGTTTTAAATATTTTACATGTCTGTGCAATATTTTTAATCGAATAGAAATATGTATGTATGAAGATTTTCAAATTTATATTATGGAAAAAATTGTTACGTTTTGAGAATTAGAAAGAAAAACGATCATGTGTTGCTAACTTCCTGCTAAAGAGCACGCAATCCCTATTTTTAGTTGTTACTTTTTGGCTTATTAAGGGGACTACAGGAGCTAAACGCAAGTTTTATAATGCCATAAAGTATATGAATTGTAATAAATGAAATCAGAAAAATATATGATATTTTTCAGGATATATGTTAGTTAGATAATGTTGAAAATATACTACTAATTTGATACGATAGAAAAAAATAACAAAGATATCTCTAAAAATTTATTTTAACGATTAAAAACCATACTAATATACATGTAATCAGTCTGATTTTTTGTTAGATTATTCTACAAGCAACATATTAACATAGTGGTGTTTTAATTTTTTTAGTCCAATCAATAGATTTTTTTCAACTAGCATATTCTTGTTTCTGAACATAATGAGTACGCATGTTTGCGTAAACGTTGTGTACCGGCAGTGCCGGCCGAGTATTGATGCCATACAAAAATGTGTAAATGTGTGCGTGCGTCTTTCGAGGTCACTTAAGTATTGTAGTCGCTTTAAAAACATATTTTTTATAATCGGAATAAATTGTTAAACCGGATTAGATAATTTTCAAAAGGTTTCCAGTACAATAATTTATACGATTTTAAATAACCGGAAACACGACGTCTGTCTGAACACGCATCACGCTAAAACTTAAGAACCGATTTGGATAGGACGTTCACTGGCAGATAGCTGATGTTATAAGAAGTAACTTAGGCAATTTTTATTTTAGGAAAAGAATTAGGGCTCCGCGGTGAAAAATAAAACCCGTGAAATCCAATCGCAATAAATTCCACGCGGGCGATATCGCGGGAAACAGCTAGTAAATAATAAATGTAGCAACGTTATTTTTAATGTTGACATGCATTTTTGTTAATTCAGTTGTTGTTGTCAACTTCGTATTGTTGTTTATTAATATTTGCATAATCTGTCCCATTTACAAAGTATTTTTTGTAATAACTTGTATAAATATTAAAATATTTTTGTGTAGCTAGATTATTTAATGACTAACCCTGCTCGTTATCATTTTCTCTTCTTCCTCTTTCTTTTAAATTTGCCCCGAAAATATTTTTGAGAACACATCGTGAAGTTCGCCAACACGCAGTGTTGCAGCGCAACAGACGTTTTGGAGTTTAATGGAATTTTAAAACAACTTAAATTTTCAGACAATTGTAATGATATTATAACAGTAAAAGGATAGCAAAATGTTGCAATGCCAAAGAACATGTAACTTAAATTAACGTTTTTACTGACAAAGTAATTACAAAATACTTGTTGCTCAAAAAAAATGATACAGGTGCTTCCTTTTCAATCAGACACAGCCAATGGACAAACTCGACATAATGACGATCGACGATCTCATTGGAAGTATGTCTTATGCCTGCAGATGTCTGCCACACAAATAACGCCATCGGGTACCAGATTTTTTTTATAGGATAGAGTGACAAACGAGCACACAGTCCACCTGATGGTAAGTGGTTGCTGTGGTCAATAGACATCTACATCTATCCTCGTGTATGAATCAAAATGTAGATGCGTTGTCACCCGTGGGGACTAAGATGGAATGCCTCTTTTCCAGTAAAAAGGGTCTCCGGTCCCCTAGACTCACCATACGAAACACGGCGGTGTTAAGCTGCTATTTTACGCTGGTATTCTGTGAGAGCGTGGTCCTTCCCTGGTCGAGCCGATCCATTCCTGCTACAACTATACTACTAATATATCTGCAGCATGGCTCTACCACGTGTGTGTAATTGCGACGGTCCTTCCCAGCTTTCCTTATGAGAATTTTTTTAATAAATCATCGTATGCACCTGCAAAAGAACCGTTATACTAGGTTGATCAATAAGTTTCCAGAATAGCACCCGTGCGTTCTAACCCACCATTCACCCACTCTCGGGAACCACACCTTTTTTCATTTTGAAATCCTCATGGATACTTTTCGCTGTGGTGGCAACGAAAAGGCAATGCAGTCCTTACTATCCCCAGCACACTCGCAGTGCTATCACTGTGCTCGTGACAACTATTTGTAATGATAAATAGCTTTTTTTTTATAGGATAAGGGTGACAAACGGCCCGTAGACATGTATATCTATCCTCCATTACAATTCAAAATGCAGATGCTTTGTTACCCGTGAGGACTAATATGGAATGCCTCATTTCCAGTAAAAAGGGTCTCCGATTCTCTACACTCACTATACGAAACACAGTAGCGTAAGCTGCTATTTTATGCTGGTATTCTGTGAGAGCGTGGTCCTTCCCCGGTCGAGCCGACCCATTTGTGCTACAACTATACTATTAATATAGCTGCAGCATGGCTCTACCACGTAAAGCGTGGCTCTACCACGTAAATACGCTATATACTAGTACACTAAAGAAAGTCAACCGAAAGGAGATGCTGCTGTAGCAACTGGCCTATCAGAGGGGTCGAACCCTTCAAGCGATAAAATCGTCCACATTAATTAAAATACTCCTTTACTAGATGTCGAGCGTCTACAGGGCAATAAGTGTTTATTTTGATGGTAAGTGGCTACAGCAGGCCATGGACACCAACGATGCAGCCAAATTCTAACAAAGAAGGCTACAGTTGCAATGTCATAACTGAGGACTAAGATGAAATTTCTCACAGACTAATTATACGCAGTGCATGTTCTGCTGCTTCGCGGCGGATATAGGTTAGAGGATGGTTCTTACTCAGTCGAACTCTTTGCCGAGAAAAGAGACCTTCCACCTATCTTTAATGTATCATAATGGGCTCGGCGTATAACCTGTTATGTTTATGGTCCAAAAATGATTTCGTAAATATAGCACGTTCCTAATATTTTATTACCTATTGTCTAAAAATACATTAAATTTAAATAATTAAAATAATTTTGACGGCTCCGTGGCGCAGTTGCTTAGCAATGAGTTCCTGCGCTGGGAGCCGCAGGTGCGAATCCCGCAGGGAAAAAGTATTTGTATAGCCTACAAATAATTGTTCCGGGTCTGGATGTTTGTAAACTGCCTCCACGATAAAGGAGAAAATCCTAATGTGGAGGTAACTTTTTTTTTAAATGGTAAGGTAAATAAATTTTGTTTATTCAAAAGCAATATATACCTACTCTGGAAAGAAATCATATTGATATTGGAATTAAATTACCTACGAATAGCGATAAATACCCATTCAATGCGATTCGTAGGTAATTCTACTTTTATTTAGTATTAAGAGAAGCCCGCCTATTTTTACCTACAGTTATAATAAATCGTAAGAGTTTCCGTTGCTATGATAGATTACAAGGCGTGAATTATTTGAAAAATGATATAAATCAATGAAACACTTATAGATTTAAGGTTGCTAATAACTGTATTTACTTAATGTAATATGGTGACGTGTTTCGTGCAATGTTTCAACCATAGACTTAGAATATACTGTACGCCAGTATATTTTAAATCCATGGTTTCAACAGATTTAGGCTGAAAAGGCAATTTTTAAAAGTCATACTTTAAAAACTCTATATTAAATCACCACAAGTTAAGATAGTAGATAGGGGTGAACAAGTGGACGCGGCTTATTTTGATTTCAAAAAGGCGTTTGATTCGGTAAATAACGATGTATTATTGAAAAAATTGGCTAGTGTCGGTTTCACTCCACATCTTCTAAAGTTCTTTGCTAGCTATATGAGAGAAAGGCAGCAGTATGTACAATACGAGAAACATCTGTCAGAAAGATATTTTACTTGGTCGGGAGTGAGCCAGGGCAGTAATCTAGGGCCGCTCCAGTTCATATTAATGATTAACGATCTTCCGAGTGTTGTGAAAGATGCGAAGTGTCTGTTATTCGCCGACGATCTCAAACTTTCACTCCCTATAAGGAGTGCTGAGGATTGTCAAAGACTTCAGAGCGACATAAATAGAGTAGCAGCTTGGAGTAAGGAGAACCAGTTGCAATTTAACATCTCAAAGTGCTTGACAATACCATTTACCCGCTCAAAAACACCTAAAGTATAAAACTATGAGGTTGACAGTAAGCGTATGAAAAGAGTTACAGAAGTGCGGCATCTGGGTGTTCAAATGGATGCCGGACTAAATTTTCGTGCTCATGTTATTAATATCTGCAAAAAAGCGTATAGGAATCTAGGGTATGTTCTTCGCCGAGTAAATGATTTCACAAATGTCAAAACTATTATTGTATTATACAATGCCTTGGCCTTGGTCAGAAGTAATTTGGAACACAATGCAATCGTTTGGTCCCCGCATGAAGCTAAGTATATGCTAATGTTGGAGAGGGTACAGAATAAATTTGTGAGATATCTGTATATGAAACTTTACGGCGTGTACCCACTCTATCTCTTAATGTAAGTATCCAACCTTATTCATTTTAGGAATGGTCGGATACAATGAACTTAGGGTTAGGAGAGAACTTACTCTAGTTTAATATATTTATAAGGTACTCATAGGGAAAATATTTAATTCTGACATACTAAAACAAAACAAACACAACTGTTTGCCGTGCCGAACGGAAGGACAAACCTAATGCGTCAGGCGCCCCTCACACTTGCTCTCTGCACATTTAATTTGATAGCGAAAGAAATAGACTTGTTTTGCTGTCCACTGAGTGAGTTCACAAAGATAGCATTGTACATTATTTGTTATGTACCTAGATAATAGCACATAAAAAAGTTATAATAATAGCATATAGAATAGTTACACTATCGTATTAGGATTACCTGTAAAGATAGTTGTAAGTGTTGAAATAAATAAATAAATAAGAGTTTGACAAGGCGCTTTTCAACCAACTTCAAAAAGGATGAGGTTTACAATTCGTC